TAAAAAAAAACGAAGACCTGTCAGACCTTGTGTTATCTCCTGGACCGAAACAAGGTCTTATAAAAGCGTTTTTTTTCTTTTCTTGTTTTTTTGGTTTTTTAAAGCCACAAGCAAAAATGTAACGTGAAATTGAATTTCCACTAAAAACTTATATCTAAATTAAATTACACAGTATAACTAAAAATAAACATTGACATAAAACAGAAAATTATTCCTTGATTCGATGATGGGTCTGTTGTACAAGTCTTTTGTAGATCTGAACTTAAATGGGTTGCTACAACTCTGAAAGCAGCAAATGAACAGAAATCAGTAAATGTATTAACACTATACATGTATATCAATACAAACAAACTCCTTGTGCCCCACACTTGATCATGATGCCAGATAAATTACTACACATATAGGGCACCGCTGTTGATATATCTGCTCTATCTTACCATACACATTCAGAGCTGGTGTCTGTCCATTAGATTTCTGAGCTACCCTCGAGCTGAATGATTCCCATGTTACTCATGCTTAAGTCACTGTTTATTTGTAATACCACTTATTCACAAGTCTCTTGTGAAGGAAGGAGAACGTGGAGAGTGACCTTCCACCGTTCTTGTAATGTGTGCTTCGGGTTCAGTTTCTACAATGTGTACTGGTTTGGGGAGCTGCAGATATTGGGTTAATCAAGTGTTTTATTGATGGCCCACGCCAAATCGAAAACGTTACTCTTGGTGTGAGAAAAACTTTGACTAATTGATCAAACACAAACAAAACAACACTTCTATCGAAGTTTTAATAAAAAGAAAATTTAAAATAAGGAAAACTCAAAGCATGCACTTCACAGAATACAAAATCAAGAATGAGTTGTTAAAATAAATTTTTAGTGATGGCTTGCCACAATATAACGAGTACCTGGCAAATTGCTGAAGCCTAAATCATCAGATGAATTAATCTCATTCCTAACAGAATTGTATAAGACGGGTCGCACGCGTCAGATTTCGTGTTTTTCAATTCTATTCCGAAGTGGAGCGCACGAAAGTTGAGAGCGAAGAAAGTTGGCATTTTTCGCTACCTGCGCGTCATTCGCACGACGTCGGGGCTCCACCAAGGCTTGTTTATTGTCAGAGGGCTCGGGCGCGGCCCCTGGGGCTATGAGTCGGTGCAGGGAATTTACGGGCACCGTGTCGTGAGTGACTGGTCAGTGAGTGCGTCGCGCGCGCCCCACCAAGATTTAGAGAATTTCCGTACGATATGATGCTGTGTCTCCGAAGCAGTGTCAGTCAATGCCGCGACGCCAGAGGCGTTCGTTGTTGATGAACCCCGCGATTGGACAGCGCACACCGCTGTGATTCAAGGCTGCCAATTTGCCGAAACCCCGAAGCGGGACGAGGGCCACCGGGACCTCTGTGTGTGTGCTGCGCGCGCGGAGTGCGTGATAGATGTGCGTCGTGAGAGGTGGCGCGGGCCTTCGCTGCACACGCTTTTTGTGTGTGTTGTGCTGTAGCGCACAGAGCGTCTAATTGGGCTCGTGAATGTACGGGCTCGCGCATTGCCGCACGCCTGTGTGCTTAGTGCAACGCCGCGCCCGCCGTCTGTGTATCAGTGGGTTGAGTGCGCTACTCTATCATCGACGAGCAGCCGCTATACGGGTGTCGCCACTATACAGGTGTACGGACGGACTTGACTTGCACACCTTCAGTTACCTGCTGGCGAGAGACCGTGTGTGCCGCCCGCACACTTTTGCTGTCAGGGCCCACCTAGGGCCCGGTCCGTGCTCAAGCTGCGGGACATACTCTCCCTGCAACCAGCGAACTGTGTGGGACGCCTGCATTCCCGCTTCGCCCGGGAGAGGAGCACGCTGCGTCACGCATGCCGCAAGCCCCCAGCATAAGGTATCGGCCCAATGCTGTGTGCCCCATGGACGGGGTAGTTCGATCCACTTCACGATCACCGTTCACTGGTGGTATAACGTATATCCCCAATCATTTGTATCATTCATTTAATTCCATATCGGGTTCTACAAATTAATATAGTTCATTTGTCATAGCATCCCATCTAACGTATAAGATAGTATTTCATATAATAAAACGTCATGTGCAATGAAATTCTTGTACTTTGTCACTCCTCGGCTCTCCCTTCTTAAACCAGCGGCCATCCCTCTCCCCCCCGGGCACCTCACGGCCCGGTGCGGTGTACAATTTACTTTGTATAGAGAAGGGCCCTTCAGTCTGCTAACGCCCCCTCCCCGTTCCAGGTATTATTCCCCCTTCTCTGTACAGTTCTACATAGGCAACAGAAAACACGCCTGATGATTCCGGCCCTGCTGTGTGAAAAAATATTTCAGAACCCGGTACCGAAAGAATCTCTTATGTTATTAGGTGAGTAAATGGTCTTTCGAAGAGTGCAAAGAGTATTAAATAGAGTGTCAAGACTTCATTACAATACCTAGAGACAGTGGACAATGCAGTATCACGTATAGAGAGAGAGCACGAATTCTGGAGAAGGATCTAGAGAAATTACTAATGAAAAATGTACAAAATAAACAACTGATAATAATAATTGATTTCTCTTCTTAAGAAAAAATAAAGGTATTGAAATTTGCAGTTTGTGTTGTTAATGTATTTTGTAATATATCTGTATTAATAAAATCAATCATTGTGGAGAAATTCTATTTAATTCTGACATCATCGTATATCGAGAACCTTTGATGTAGTGAACTAAAAATGTTGTCCACAGAAGTTCACTATAACCAGAGTCGACTGTATTAAGAATCTCTTAAAATTTTTAGTAGTTAAAAAGAGGTTATATTAGTTACACAAAGGTTAAGGTACTCGTCTACTCAAAACTTCAATAAATGGTGATAAAATGCAATTTTCTTAGTTGTTTTTTTAAATTTACCTTTTGAACTTTTAGATGCTTCAAACCATTTTCATTTAGAAATTATAATTTCCCAATTTGCTATTTTCTGCACTATAGTATAAGTACATCTTCACATTGTCAGAGGCTGGGAACCCTACACGGAATTTTCAGTTACAAAAAATCATGCATCTGGATGAAGGAAAACAGATTACACAAGTAAACATGGATTTTCCTTTTTTGATTTTGACACTTGTTTCATATGTTAGTTGGTCAGCTGAATTCAATAATGCCCTTACTTTTAATCCATCACATCACATTTTTAATAATTTCGGTAATTGTGATAAAAACAATATTGAAAATATACACATTATCTTCAATGAGTTAGAAATGCAAATATATATTATTAGTGATAGTTGATAAAGTCATTATTTTGACGATTTTGTAACAGAACACAGTAGATGGTAAGCAAGTTTACCAAGTATATATTCATAAACTTATGAAAATTACCTGTTACATAGCTCCATGCTTATTAATAGCAGACCTTGTGCAAAAGTAAATCAACCCCCAGCCGTTGACTAAGATATTCAAAAGCAGAGTGATCCAAAGAATAGTATTGTTTGTTAAATATTTGTTGTCCTATAATCATGCAAAAAAAAAAAAAAAAAAGTAAATGCCCCCACAATACATTTTGCTATATTTGTGTTGCCTCATAAAGTGGCGCAGAGTTAGAAAATGGGTTGAAGGGGAGAGGAAGGCACAGAGATTTGTAGTCTATGGTGTAGCATAAGCCAATGAACCATCTATATGATTGTTACTTTTGTATTTGCACAGTAAAAGGATTCAATACAAAGAACAGACACTGAATGGTTTTTCCTGATTTTGAGTCTGCTAGAAAGTTTGTACCACGTGGCACTGACATTTCTATACAAGAACCTCCTTCAAACCTACTGACTTATGTTCAACACCAAGCAAGTCGGCTGAAGAATTTTATTGGACAAGCACAAACACAAACCTTTAACACAAACAGAACTGAACACTTTGTTCAGAGATTTAAATCTCTCAAAGGATGTTTCTGAAGTTTCAGCTTCATATCTGAAAGCTTCACAATCTTTTATCTCCAGGTTCTTATGTTACAGTTTACAGACATAGTATGGTTTTATAATCAGGAAAACTCCTTTGTATATTGCAATTGAATATATTTGTATCTTGCATTTGCTTGAATTCCCAATCTCATAAATAAGTTAAGAGGAGAGCATAAAACAGATTGATGGAGGCTTTTCATTGATTCAAGCAAATGAAGTTTAAAAGGTGCCTTCCTACACATTGGTAACACTTAGCATCTATACCAGTCACACATTCCATCCATCTTCTCGTCCTCAGGAGAATTATGAGGAATATAAATGGATCATCTGCACTGATTTAAAGGTTTTGTGCATGTTGTTCGGACAACAACAGGGTTACACCAAGAACCCATGTCACATTTGTGAATGGAAAGACGAGATAAAAAGAATCATTGGACAACACAAGAATGGCCTAGAAGAAACACACTGATTCCAGATTGCAAGAACATTATAAAAAAATAACTGAGTATATCCTTACAAAATTCTGTTACCTCCCTTACACATTAAATTGGGATTAATGCAGCAATTTACTAAAGCACTGATAAGAATGGAAGTTGTTTTAAGTACTTAACAAACAAATTTCTGGCCCTTACAGAAGGAAAAGTCAAAGAAGTATATTTTAGGGCCGCAGATCAGAGAACTAGCTAAAGATGAACATTTTGAAACAAGTATGACACCTCCAGAAAGGGAAGCTTGAATTGGATTCAAAGAAGTAATGCATAAGTTACAATCCGTGCACTTTAAATATTTACAATCAGTTATTGGATCTAAAAAAGTTGAGTTGACAAAATAAAAAAAAAATTAAAAAAATAAAAAATTTAAAAAAAAAAGAGACCTGTAGACCTGTGTTATCTCCTGGACCGAAACAAGTCTTTATAAAAGCGTTTTTTTCTTTTCTTGTTTTTTTGGTTTTAAAGCCACAAGCAAAAATGTAACGTAAATTGATATTTACACTAAAAACCTTATATCTAAAATAAACATTACACATTATAACTAAAATAAACATTGAACAATAAAACAGAAAATTATTACCTTGATTCGATATGGGTCTGTTGATACAAGTCTTTTTGTAAGATCTGAACTTAACTGGGTTGCTACAACTCTGAAAGCAAGCAAATGAACAGAAATCAGTAAATGTCATAACACATATACATGTAATATCAATACAACAAACTCCTTGTGCCCCACACTTGATCATGATGCCAGATAAATTACTACACATTACTAGGCACCGCTGTTGATATATCTGCTCTATCTTACCATGACACATTCAGAGCTGTTCTCGTCCATTAGATTTCTGAGCTACCCTCGACTGAATGTATTTCCCATGTTACTCATGCGTAAGTCACTGTTTATTTGTAATACCACTGTCATTCACAAGTCTCTTGTGAAGGAAGGAGATACGTGAAGAGTGAACCTTCCACCGTTCTTGTAATGTGTGCTTCGGGTTCAGTGGTTCTAAATTGTACTGTTTGGGGAGCTGCAGATATTGGGTTAATCAAGTGTTTATGATGCCCACCGCCAAATCGAAAACGTTAACTCTTGGTGAGAAAACTTGACTAATTGATCAACACAAACAAAACAACACTTCTATCGAAGTTTTAATAAAGAAATTTAAAATAAGGAAAACTCAAATGCATGACACTTCACAGAAATACAAAATCAAGAATGAGTTGTTAAAATAAATTTTTAGTGATGGCTGCCACAATATTAACGAGTACCTAGGCAAATTGCTGAAGCCTAAATCATCAGATGAATTAATCTATTCCTACAAATTGTAATAAGACGGTCGCACGCGTCAGATTTCGTGTTTTCAATTTTATTCCGAATGTTGGAGCGCACGAAAGTTGAGAGCGAAGAAAGTGGCAATTTTTCGCTACCTGCGCGCATTCGCACGACGTCGGGGCTCCACAAGGCTTGTTTTTAGTGTGCAGAGGGCCGGGCGCGGCCCCTGGGGCTATGAGTCGTGCAGGGAATTTACGGACACCGCAACGGCAAGCGTCGCCCCACTAAGGTTTAGAGAATTTCTGAAACTCCGAAATTTCATCCGAAATCCGCGACGCCAAGCGTCGTTGATGACCCCGCGATTGGACAGCGCACACCGCGTGATTCAAGGCTGCCAATTGCCGAAACCCGAGCGGGCGAGGGCCACGTGACCTCACGAACCAAGGGAGGCTTCTGCACACGCTCGTTGCAGCAAAGCTGTAAATTGGGCTCATGAGTACGGGCTCGCGCATTGCCGCACGCCGCTAAACGCCGGGCCGCGCCGCTGCCTACACGCCCGACTGCCGTCGCCGATCGCTCCTGTGTCGCCTGGGATAGGCCACACGCCGGACTATCGCCGCGAGGTGTGAACCCGGCGGCCAATGACTGCCAGAGCGCCCGAAATCTGTTCAGGACCTTTTTTACGGGCAGAGGCGCGACCACCGCCGTCTTGCGTCGCGCTGCTGACGCCCGGGAGAGCCGCCGCCCGCTCTTCGAGGGGCGAGGGAGGCTTCACTGCTGCTGCCAACGGACCGAGCCGCGGCGGGCCGGCCGCCAGAGGGAGCCGCCGCTTGCGCCACCGCGGTTCATGAACGCCCGGGGCCGACGTCGCACCCGTCTGAAGGTCCCAACGCCCGGACACTTCCCCGAAAGGGAATGGACCATAAGCGAAGTTCGGTTAAGTAAGATTAAGAAAATTAATATTGTAGTTTGAGGCCTCACCTCAACTATGAAATAGGAATTAAAATCTATTTGTTAATCTTACGATGAGCTTCAATGCATTAGTGCATGGAAAAGTCGGTCACACATATATCCCACCGAAATTTCAGACCGAACAACCGGGCCAATGCTGCTAACGAGAAATCGGGAGAACAGGTAAGTCAGGTCACCATGGGACCTCTCCCCCTCCTTAGAGAATTGGCCAGTAGTGGACGGACCGACCAGTTTAAAGTAACTTTATTACAAAGAAACAAAAAAGCGGGTGTTACAAAATGCTGAAGATAATAATATTTCTTTTAATTTGTATGTTTTTCTTTGTTTCATTAACTTCATGTTGTGTTTCTGTACATTGTCTTTCCCTCTCCCAGGACATCATCATTTAGTTTTTAGGTGAGATAAACTAATCTTAAAACCTATTTCCTCTTTGAAGGTTGTGTTTTCTGAATCGACAGTTTTTATTGCAAACCTGAATTAGCCGGAAACCTGGACAAGTCGGACGACAATATTGGACCCAAACAATTCCAGCTTTCACACATTTTACTGTTTTTAATTTTTGAATACATGTAACAATTTTTTGAAATTGATAATAAAAATTAACCAAGAAGAATTACAGAAAACCTTATGTTCATAAAATGCATAATTGAAAGTAGTGATGCTACAGTTTGACATACTTTCTCGAATTACATAATATTATTATATCATACTAACGCATTAACCGTAGTTTGAAAAATTCCTAACCAAAACAAGCTCCAGATACACTTCTTTAATTTGATAAAAGTTTAAAAGAAAACTGATTTCTGCCATTGAATTCAGTGTATTCTGCTTAATTATAAAGATGTTTGAAGAAAATGTACTTGGCTGGGTTTTAAACCAGGGTGGTGAGGGTATGCTCACCCTACCTCTTGAACCATTGTGACATTATATATAGCTCTATATTTATTGGGCTTTAATGTATTCATAACAATCTAGAGATTCTTTTGCATTTCAAAAATACTAACATAGCAAAAATTTTACATAACATTACTTAATTTAAATTTTACTAATGTTGAGAAATAGATTGATCACTAAGTAAAACTGCATCTTCAATGATGAAGCTGTTAGAGTATGGAAAAAATATACATGAATTTTTCAATCGCCCAGAGGTTTAGAAGAAAATAGGATAATATGCCAGATTATTAAGCATTCTTCCTTATTCTAGTTAAAAAATTTGGCGTCAGTTTGAGAAATTTTCAAGAATGTCTGATGGTCTACATACTAAAGAACCATTAAAAACATTCATTTCAAATTCACAAGACTTCAAGTGCAGTCAAAATAATTGAGGATTATACATTTTCAAGAAATCCCTGTGAACAGTAGCAGCATTAGTGTTATCCACAGACGGACAGATACACAATTTTGAAACAAACCACTTTTTTTGGTATCAAGGACCAACAAAATACAGATTCTGACTATACTATGTATCCAAGAAAATAATTTACTACATATTGCAAGAAAAACACACTTTTTGGTATGAGCGACCCACAAAATTAGTTTTCTTCTGCATTTTTTCCTGTGGCATTTCAATATTATTTTCTGTACTCTGTATAAGAGAAAGTAATTTACTTAGTAGGCCACCTACTTGTTTTGGTACAGAACTGTTCCACCCAAAACTCCTTTTGCTTGAAAACACTGAAGAATCTGCAGGGCCTCCAAAAAAACACTACCGGCACTCTGAAATCAAAATTGAACAAGATTTAAATATTTAATTTACTAAAAAACACTTGTTAATTTAAATGAAAACTTATTCTTATTTTGAAAGTTTACAAATTTAAAATTTAGAACCCATTTCTTCAATACTTTCAAATTTAGATAAAAAGAAATTAACCTTTGGAAGTTTTACAGTAGGAATTGTTCCAAAAATATTTCCAGAATGCTGTATTATTGGCACAAAGGTTTCAAAAATTTGATGAAGTTTCTCATTGAAGTAACTACCATCTTCAGCACATTTTGAAGAAATTGAATCAAAATCTTTGTGGTAAAATTGCAGTAAACTATGAAGGGTATCTGCCCGATGTTGCAGGATCCAATCTGGGATGTTTCGATCAGTACCAACAGTCTGTTAATAGAAACAAACATTTTTCAAGCAGCAGCACACAACATTCACGATAACTTGTAAGTAGAGCAAATTTAATTTTTTTTATTGTAAAGTTAAAGCAGGCTATCCATTCTTTAAAAGCAAATTTCCCATTTCTCTTGGATTATCAACACTTGTAAATAATTAAATAAATAACATCTTTACTTATCAAATGTCATGCAATATATTCTTTATAACTCAAATTTATCCAATGTTCTAGTAGAATTCGTCTCCATAATGAGTTTTGTGTTGCAATAAAATGAATACAAAAGACCTAAAATTAAATCTTATTTTTATTGCAAAAACAAAAATCAAATTGTGTAACGGAAACATACATACCAAAATGTATTGCCCAAACTGTTGCACCACAAATTTTCCACTATTAAGTGAGATTACTCGAGGACAGGAGAAGGCTGAAAGAAAAAACTGTGTGGCTCCCATTAGCTGACCACAGAGTGCCAATTTCTGCTGATCACTGACCCAAGTGGGATGAAAATACAAAACAGCATCTTGTGGATCGTCATCTTCTTTTTGACAACGTTGCGTATCATAAATAAACATAATAAAAAGTTCCCTAAAAAACAACAAAATTATGATAAGAGAAAACACATGTGAATTATCGTCATGAAAATAGGTGAAGGAAGAAACAACATTAATAACAGTAGTAGATTATTGCAATGAGTGTTTTTGAAGAATTCCTAACAGAAAGAACTTGTTTGGTAGGTCACGAAACAAATGAACCTCATGTAGGACGATGTCAATGCTAAAGATAGTGATGAAGCAATTTACAAATAAGAGAACTCTAAATGAAATCATAGGTGAACAGACTGTACAATTATAACCAGCACTTATGTTGCCAGCGCTATACAAGCAGTCCCTTCTTATAATAATTTCTATATATTAAGGTAGTGAGCGAGTAACAATTGCAAAACTTCTAAAAATTTAAATACTGCAAATTTCTCGGCTGGCTGTATTCCTATAATTCGCTAGTCGGTTCTGTCATGTGCATTTAGTTACAGTTGTTATCCAAAATGTCTGTGTTCTGAAGTGTTTGTGATGCTACCCATTTCCCTACAGTAAATATGAAAAAAAGGAAGTATAGAAAGCATTGACATATTTTAACATTTAAAGTGACGACAAACAAATGAACACATTAGACATTACTGATATTGTGTCTACGTTTGAGAAAGTATTACTGTTACTTTATTTCCTAAGAGATAAAATTTGGAAAAAATTGATATTTTACTTAGTTGTAAAGGTAAGAAAAAGGCAACATTTGTGCTGTGATCATTATTTTGTTAACTCACTGTATTTTAATAAATAAAATTAATTTTTCTATTTTTTCACATGACTGATTTTTGCAAAAAAATTGTATGAATGTACCAAAAATTGCAGATTTTGATGCACTTTATATTTTCAATTATTTAAATTTTACATTCCATACTGCAGTGTTATTTGAAATTGTATCCAGTCATTCTTAGTGTGAGTTTATAGTCTACTAATTTCAGTTCCTGATTTGATATACCATTTTCCAAACATTATGAAATCGCATAAAATGTATTACATAAGAAATATGTGGAATGAAATAGGTGAAAGTCCTCCAGAATGGCTCATGTAAAGTGCACTTGCTTCCCATGGTGTGGCCTTGGTTTTAATTCAGGGTCAAGGCAAAAACTCTTTCCTTTAAAACTGTCTGTTTCTGGAGCTGTGCAACAAAGAAACAACAGGCACACAGAGATAGCCAGTTACGGTGAAGATAATACGTCAAGTTTGCCACATATAATACACGTGTTTCTCTTACACCCCAATCGTGGGAATTAAAACAGGCCCAGGGTTGAGGACATCTTTAGCAAGCCTGAAATGTCAGACAATCATCCCCAAATGCTAAATAACTACAAATTGAAAAATTCTTCAATTTTCCAAAAATTATTATGAAAAGTGGAAATTGTGCATTGTGTACCTACAACGAAAAAAAATAAAAGAGGGTTTTCTAAACATCAAAAATAAAGTCTCTGTGTGACGTACTATACAGAAAAGAGTTGAATGTGCACTTTTTACTCTACCCTTGAAAACATACGGTTGATACCTCCTAAAACAGATCGAATATACATTTCAAAAATTCAAAAACAAAAGTTTAATAGATAAGGAGGCCCAGAAATGCAGTCATCTGCCCTGCTTTAGGTAGCATATGCCTGTGGATGTTGAGCTACCTAGGTTAACTAATAAAAAAATTAGGGATGTACTTTTCCCCTCATCACATTTGAGGTTATAATGTAAAATAGGTAATAAACATTATTTTTCTTAACTGTGTTCTCAAAAATACTGATCCTTATAAGTGTCTTCATACAGTTAAAAAAAATAATGATCATTGAAATTGTTCAGTAGTGTATTTGTGAATTACAGTTATCTATCCATCTCTCGCACATTTAAACATTATCACACATATGGAAATAAATGGAATTGTCAAAATCCGATCTCTATGGAAACATGGATCAATTGCTCGTTTTTGAAAAATGAAAATATCTTTCAATGTATGTAAGTTATGACTTTAATAAGTTGCATAAACATTGTACCTTTATAACCATTTCTATTGTCAAAATGATGATTGGATAGATTGATAAAACACAACAGAACTTCAAAATAAAACTTAGATGTGGTAACGTCCTCTCCCTTATATCAATGTTTTTTCGAAAAGAAAAGCGGCTCCTTGCATATTATATTTCGGTAATAATAAAAGACTAATCCTATTCAAGCATAAATTCAAGAGTATTTCTTTGATCATACCCATTACACAACTGCACTCCCTTATTATGAGGTTGATAGGATACAAGGTTCCCTTAACAATGCCATACACTGAGAAAAACCTCGATAACCAAGACAAGATCTCTCAATCCTTAAATACCATGCATCAAATCTGTACATCTTTTAACAAAGACATCCAAATTAACAGTTTGGCTAATGAGGTTACATACTTCAGAGCATGAAGGAAAATGTACATTAATGATTGGTTCACAAGAGTCTATGAGAATGGAATATTCATACACTTTTTCTTGAAACTAAAACACAGAACAGCACATTCAAATGTAGTTTCTAAAGTTTAACAAGAGTATTTCTGAAAGGACCTGCTGTGACAAGTATCAAGAAAGAGCACACAACTAGCAAAATTTGTATTATTTCTAGATAATATTAATAGATGAAACACAACTCATCTTGAAAATAGCAAAACTGCACATTCAACATAAATAGAACAAACAAATTCTGCTAACATAAACAGTATTTTATTATATTAATTCAAATTAGTTACATAAATGAGTTACACAATTAATTGCTTCACACTAAATAAAATATTTTCTATGTTTCTATATTTCTATGTAAGCTTATTGAATCTTAATTTTAAGATGAGGACAAATTATTATTCAAATATTAAAAGCAAACAACACATAAGTGTTAAAACGACAATCATACTAATAATAAAAATGTTATGTTTTTCAGAATACCCTTCTTTACAAATTTTTGCAAAAATATCATGAGTAAAAATCTATCGTTGGTTATTTACAATTAAAAATGTAGGGTGGAATTTCAGATCCATTAAATGTTGAAAGTACAAAAAAATAATTTCACTTACTTCGCCATAGTACACTTAAATTTTCAGTGCAGACAAAATAATTGGTACAGTAGAAACTTCTCAGCCTCGGTCAACAGCCTTACACAAGGCAGCCTTATACAACGAACACGTTTTCCGCTTGTTTCCTCGACCTGTCAACTGAAAAACTATCGTCACATACCGCGATGGTTGATCTGCTAATATGTAAGTAGTAGACCTATATAGAGAGAGCAGAATTGCAAATCCTGATCGCAAAAATGCATCACGTAATTGTATTTATTTTTATATTTTTCAGGGTTCTTGCAACTCTCACCAGATCAACAGGGCAGAAATGTCACCGGTTAAAAGTCTCACATCTTTTCTTGTATTTAATTTATCCACCACTAGAAAGCAGCGTAACAGAATACACATTCAAACTGAAACTTATTTTCTCACATTGGAAGCCTTTCTTCACACTGTCATCGTCAAGATAAAATAAAATAATTTCATGTACTCGGGCGTTCGAACCACACCTCAATGCAACAGCCTCAATTCGAGCCAGCTCGATGATTGCTTTCGGCTGCTAGATCTAGGACAGACCAGCGCTCAGTGGCGAAGCTCTCTTGTGGACTTCCGCGAAGATACTGTTGGTTATGTCGAATCTTATTATGCCTCGGATTATTTAATAGCCACGAGTTCCATAATTACTCTTCGCTTGCTCTTCACCAATTCTTCATAACTTTTCATTTACATAACTTTGCTTTGACCACTTGTCAAGTGAATTGGATGTGAGATATATTTTCTCTTTGATTTCCACCATACACACTCTTTATACCAACACGCAATTAAAATTTGCATGCATTTGACATCTTGTCGTTTGGGAACCAGTTATCCAATCGGAAATTTCATTTCCAAAAATTAAGTCGTAACAAAGATTTGATTTGGATCACCGCGCTCCCCCTGAGCTGATGTCAAATGCATTCAAATATTTCATGGAGAATGAAGCCAGAAGGCAATGAATGACGACTGAAAGATTGTGATATGAATGTATGCAATGATTAATGCCGTAAAATTAATATTGACCGATCTAAACAAAGGCGAATTTACAGTTCTTGGGTTTGGAGCGGGGAACTGACGTAATCGGGAAGTTTCGATGACGTCACTAAATTCTTGTCAAAGTTTCCATAAGAACAAACGACTGATATAATGCGTGAGAGTCAAGTTACTGCCCGCATGGAGCTATGATTTTTTAATTTTTTTTTTTTTTTTTTAATCCACGCCTGAATTTCATCCCATGCCATAGAGTATAGTTGTGCGCGGATTTTTAGCAGGAAAATACTCCTTTTAAGATTGTAATGACAATATGACCTTCCTTTTGCCGTCCATAAATTGTGAAGCTTTGTTTGATGTTAATATTTACATTAGTGGCAATTTGTTCACATTATTGTATTTATGAGTAGATGTGTTTTAAAAAATGTCATATTAAGTTTCTCAAAAACTCAACAGTTTTCTATGAAAATGAGCAATTGTTTCAAGGAAATGTAAGATTTACAAAAAAATATCTCTCATGCCGTTAATATGCACGTTTCCAGAGATTTGTAAAAACTATTGCTTTTGTGAGTAAAAATGCTTCAAATGAAGTTTCTTATATTGGAAATATATTTACATTAGCGGCAGTTTCTTTACATCATTGCACTTACGAGTACTTGTGCTTTAAATGATGTCTAATAAAGTTTTCGCGGAAACTAAGGTTTTCTAAGAAAACGAGCTCAAAATTCTGCATTTTCAGAAACGTTCAAACGCCATTTTCTCAAAAAACTGCTCCAATTACTTTCTTCAAACTTTTCGTACGGCTAATGTTTTACGGCTTTACGTTGAGCTAATTGCAATGTTTAAGATGACATAAAGTTCATTTTGCGGTATTCCTTTGTTGTTATTGTTTTAAAAAAATTACACAAATGTGATTTTTTAAATAACTCTCATGCTGCTAATATGCATATTTCCAGCAATTTGTAAACACTATTTTATCTGTGAACGGAAGTACTTTAAAGGACTTTCAATGAAGTTTTTTTTCCAAAATTCAAAAGATTCCTGAGAAAAGGAGATTGAAATTTCGCCTTTAAAGTGATGCTTAAACGCTGTTTTCTTAAAAACTACTCCAAAGTTTTCCAAGCAAAATTGCCATTTAGGATGAAGTTTTACTCTTTTTTAAGTCAGATTTCGCATCTACTATCAGGAAACCGAAAAAATGGGAATCTGAAAAGAAAAAAAAAAATGTAGGATGGGTGACGATAGATGGCAGCTAGGACGAGGATGAGGAAGACAAAAAGCTAGCCAAGAAAACAAATTAGATAACTAACACAAGAAAGTCTGTGCGATTCTGAAGAACCACTAGTTTTTTTCTTTCTTTTAGTCAATACGGCCAAGTTTATCTTTTTTTATTCCAGTATTCTAGTTAGAAAATCTTTGTTTGCTATTTCTCATACATTCCAAGAGGCTACAGTCTCAAAGTGTACGCTAATTCTTGTCCATTTTCTTTGCTTGGTTTATCATTGTATTGTTTGTCATCGTGTCTTTCCGAGACTTATTCGGGTGATGCAAGTACCTATATTTAGATTTTACATTGACCCAACGCACATCCTTCAACCAAGAGGACCAGAGCTTTTGTTCAAGTTGTCTCTCCCTTTGGCTGACTGCTTCTACCTTATCTCAAGGAGTTGAGCCTGTCCCTTCTCAAAGAGTTTTCGTCTTCAAGGCGAGGGCGCCAGCGTACCTCTCTGGACACTCATCCGCCCTCCCCATTGAAGGCGGCGGACAAGGGGCACCACTTATTCTGGCGGTCACTTGGGTCCCAGAACGTGTTTGCCACCAACTGGTGCATACCATTTCCTATTAGTTTTATTCATTACATCTTAATTTGGCACTTACTGAAAAACATAGTTATACATTAAAAGTATTGTATTGTACAGTACGTGTTGCCTCTTCACTTTTCTTGTTTCTTCGTTTGGCTGTGTTTTGCAGATACTCTGCGCAAGTACTTACGTCCCTACTGATTCTGCTGTTTCGAAGAGTTTAACAATGTCAATAATTCGTTCGGAATAGTTGTTTTCAAGCACGGAATAGTGAAAAAAGCGCCGCCACGAGATGGGATCGCAGGAGAGGGCTACTCTTTCGTTTTGCCTGAGGGCCTAAAAGTCGCCGTTCTCCTTGCCAAGCAGTTATTTTTTACAAAATTAGTTATTTTATGAATACGACAAGAAATTCTGTCAACTTTGTAATTTTGTGAAGTGTCTGTTTCATTAAAACGCGTAGTTTCTCTGTGAACCCGGCACTTTGCGAGGTGGCAAATATAAAATTCGAATTCAGTACCTCCAAAAAGAGAACCACCGAGAAAAAACCTCCGAATTATTTTTCCTGTGTCAAATATCTAGTGACCGGATTACCATGAAAGGTACAGGAGAGACACCGGGATGGCACACCAACAATAGAAAATTCCCGGCAGAACATAATGATCAAGGTTTGAGAGCGCTTCAACAGCTAAGGTCATTGGCCCCCATGTCAAATTATTTTAAAAAATACAATGTCAGGGCCAAGCTAAAACATTTTTTAATGCAAAGAAAAATGTGAGTAATTACTTACTGAAAATAAACGTCTCCAATTACAAAATAAGGTTTGGCAGACGAGAACCTTTTTAAAATCTCCAACTAAATAAAAAAAAATTAGCATTATCCTTATTTACTAGGCTGTCAGGGTGACGCCGCGTCCATGGCGAAGGTGCCAACGTTTCGGTCGCCATTCTGCGACCTTCCTCAGGACAGACTAGTAAATACTGACTCCGGCTGCGGAAGCCTACGCTCTCACATGAGCATTATCCTCTTCTCTCAGAAAATGTTGTAGTCTCTCATAAAACGTTTCCAAGTATCTCTGCTAGAGAGCTAGCAGGTGATGGCTTCGGCGTCTATCTCTCACCTTAGAACAGTGCATGTTCCACGGTAAGATCCGTCTCGCAATTATGGGCGCCAGTAGGGGTGGGTCGCCGCGGGGAAGATATCCGTGGGAGAAATGGCAGTGATCTATCTGAAGTCGTGTCATAATAATCCCCTCGCGCCTAGAGCTACGAGATGAGGGAGATCAAAGCATTATGGAATCCTTGATTCTTGTGAGCAGTGCTCCATTCTTTTTGTTTTCAGAAAGCCAGGAGGGTATGGTGCGAAGCTGGAGATTTGCTCGAAGGGAGAGGACAATTCATCAATATTATATCTTCTGGTGAGGTGAGATGATGTCCATTTACTAGAAGCCCTGAGACGGAGGAAGTCTTCCTGCGATCTTTCGCCACACTACCTTAGGCAAAAGAGTGAAGAAATATAGGCTCTCCAGGACGCGACCTTACTTTCCCGTTTTGCCAATCTAGCTCTGGGTCGGGATCTTTATCAGACTATCCACGGTTGGAGACCTACTAAGCTTTGTCAGCGCCCGCTTCCGATCACGCACCGCGGTGGCACAGTCAGCATTCCACCATGGTTCGTGTGGATGTCGGGGGCAACCCGACGACTTCGGGATGGTACTTCAGGGCGCATGAAGGGCATCAGTAAAATGGGCAACTATAGTATCGATTTCGTTTGAGAAGTTTACCGATATCCGTATTTCTTTCTCGAATGTTTCCCACTCAGCTCGCGGGATTAGCCAGTAAGGAGGTCAGGCAACGAGGTCGGGAATATGGAATTTGATCAAATAGAGAAGTGGTCACTGCCATGCAGGTCGCTAAGGGCAGGCCACTCAAGGATGGAAAAGAGAGATGGACTGCAGAGAGCTACTAGAAAGAGATCTACGGACGACAAAGTATTTGAAGACATGGGAAAGTGAGTGATTTCGCCAGTATTATGAAGAATGAGGTTCTGGCTGTCAATAATATTTTCATGTATAGGGCAGTTCCTTGTGCCACCCCAGGTGGGATTTTAGGTATTAAATAACCTCACAACTAGGAAAAGGGGCGGGCAACTGAGAAAACACATCTTCTTCTTGTGACACGGCTTGTTTAGGAAAAATGTATATATTGCACACCGTTAGTGAAAAGGATGATGGGTGTATCCAAACATATGTTTTGAAGGTCGGTTCGAGCGTTGTTCTTCAGAGAACAGTGAGTCACGGATATGTACCGCGACACCACCTTGAGCACGAAGTCCGTCATCTTGATCAAACCTTTAGGTGCCAAATCCGCCAAGACACGGAATGATGGATAACAAAAACAGTTTACAACTTTCATCTATTTTCACTTTTTACCATATCATAATATGGGACGCTTACTGGTACTGAGTTTGAGATTATTTATATAATTCTCAACTGAGAAAGAATGATCTCGTTTTCTTTTACATTTCAAGATGTACCTGAAGATGAGGTGACACACCATCTCAAAACGTACCATAACAAGTTATTAATAAAAATAAATTACAAACATGAATAGTTTATTACAAAATAGTACCTATATCTAAAAAAAATAGAGGGGTACTTTGTATTAAAAAATCTGAATGTATCAAAATAGACAAACAATTTTCAAAGTATTTCAAGAGGTAAGATTTTCGTCCCTTTCCGAAGCAAAGTCATCTTTACCACGCCGTTTGCAGAGATTTAAGGTTGGATGCGTCGTCAATGCCACTTGGCGGCCGGCAATCAGCTTGGTTTCTTATATTTTTATGATTTCTTCGTCGGAGCGAGCTTCAATACGAATCAAACCGTTCCAATGTCACAAGACCGCTTGGAGCTTCCCGAATGCTTCCTATATGGCTCGCGCCAGACGGACAGCACTGGTTAAAACGTTTTCTTTTCTTCGGCACATACCATACGAAGGAAACGCGGCTTTTTGTGCTTGTCATCCTGTTACAAAAATACAACTTTTTATATCAACATTTCTTCCTGGTCTTCTCCTTTTTCTCGCGGAAAAGGGCGGGGTGGTATTTTGGTTCCGTATGAGGGACCGTGATACATCTCCGTTCTCACCACCCACCATGGAGTTCATCAAGGGGACACCCCACTAGGGTATCAGAGCTGACACGGAGATATAGTGAAGCGAAGACAATGCGCCGCCCCGCCGTGTATCTTCCCGCTCACCCTGGAGTACATTATAATACCTAATCGGAGCAGATTGATCGGGAGTGGGTTAGCTCCCGATTGTCCTCAAGAAGAGTCCGAGATCAAAGCAAGTAAATCGAAACCTACAAGCTCCCTAAAACACGGAAATAACGTAACCCTAGGCGCCGAGCTGCAACAGCACAAGGGGAGTAGTTGGGAAACAAACAGACCCCTTAACCGCTAGGACATTCATTCCCTCCGACATGGGTCGCAATGCACAAGCACATGGATGGGCGTTCAGCATACAGGAGAGGGGAGAATAGAAAGGGTAGAAGAAATAAGACAGGGTATTATAAAAGAAAGATATTGAACGATGGAGGAAACTAATTATGACTGGTGAAAGAAAGAATGTTTGAGAGACCTCCATGCATCCACCCGCCAACGTCCTGGAATGACACTTCGACCGGACGGCAGGACGACTTGCTGGCATTCAAGGAAATAGGTTCTGTCATGGAATTATGAACATGACGAATGTTTAGAACCATCTGTCACCCTCCAAAAAGATGAAGGCTCTAGCCTTTACAATGAAGCGTGTCATTGGTGAAAACTTGCCTAAGAATTCCACGACGTAAGTTGTCGCGGAACCTCCAAGAACGCCCAGATCTCCAACGGTCGATAGTCAAATGGATATGGGATATCACCATGAACAAAAATTATTACAAAACGGCGTCGCAATATATTAACCGAGGAATCTTCTAAACCAACGCATAGAAGTTCGAGAAATATTCTACAAGTTGAACAAATATTCCAAAAAACGAATGACTCGAGGTAAATTGTTGGCTGAGAAGGTACAAGATAAAATCCAAACATAAGCTCAACACACCAAACGATACAAAGGTAGCAATTAAAAACTTGGCGAACGGGAAATCACCAGAGGCCGATGCGATCCCGAATTATTGGTTTAGGCAATTAACAGCATTATATTCCCGTTTGGCAATTACTGATAACGGAATGTTAGTTTCGTCTTTCAAAATGTACCACATGATTGGATTCTGAAGACCCATGGGATCTACTGGTTTTATCATAAACCTATTGAGTTTTGTAATGTTAGTAATAAGTCTAGGAGTACCACATCACTTCTACATAGCAGACATCAAGTAATAGAAACAAGAAATATTCAGATTAACAAGGGTTTTTTCATGGATATTCACTATATCCTATGCTGTATTATATCTAGGCGATTTCTACAAGGTGTGTGGTGCAGGAACACCAGTAAGATATTCTTTACATGAATGATCTTAAATTGTAAGGTACGAATGAAGTGACTCTCTCTCTCAGTTCTATAGAAAATATATACAGGAACATCTGCATGAAATTTGGGCATGACAAATTCACAAAAGTCTACTTGAGAAGAGGCAAAGTGGGAACAACCAACAGTATTGAAGTTGTCATGCACAGTATGATTTAAGAACTTGAACCAGGTAATATCTACAAATATCTAAGCTTTGAACAATGGGAGAACATCTCTAACAACATAATAAAGGATATAATTCACAAGGAGTATTTACAAAAGACTTTCTTGCAGTTTGCTCTCAATTTGAAGACAATAATTTCTGCAATAAGTAGTTTGGATGTGCATGTATTCAAGTACAGTTTTGTGTTGAGCAAAAAATTGAAACTGTGGGCCGAAAAACAGAAAATGGTTTACAATGCATCATGTTGTTCACTCTCAAGCCAATATACTTAGACAATGTAACACATAAAGGAGGAAGAAGATTTGAACTCAAACAAATTGAACCCTCCTTACACAATGCAATAGCTAGAGAGGAATAGAGACTGGTTGTTAGGATTGGCAATAGAGGCGTTGTAAATTCAGCAAGAAGCATTTCGATAACACACAAAAAAACAACAACAACATGCAAGAGACACAGAAAATTACAAACAATGAATCTTTGGTGCTAATGACATAAAATGTAAATCACTAATAAAGTTAAAAAAATTGTTGAGAGATAAACCACTCCATGGACAGTCTTTAAATAGAATGAACAAGGTACAAATCAACAAAACTGATCAACTTCAAAGGGGAAAAATGGAGCCAGAAGCGGAAGCAATTACAATAGCGTATTTTACTGAATATAAGTTGATCTCGAAGTTAAGATCACCCCCTAATTTTGAAGAGGCGTCCTGAGAATTTTTAAATTTTTAACTAATTCTTACTATTTAATCAAAATAAAATTACAAAACGACTTATTGACTAGAAAATCGCCTTCTTGATGAGAATGTTAAGAGTTATTGCTGAACTATTATTTTCTTGTTCCTTCACCTGATCATAATCATGGTTTTTGTCAGTACCGTCGTCATCTTTACATGTATCAATGTTTCTTTCTTTTTGGCCCTTCTTCCATGCTGTGACATTTTCTGACTTTTTAGGCCCTCTTGAAAGTTTTGCGGACTCAATTTTGCATTGTTTATAGTCCTTCATATCAGACGCCATCGAAGAACGTTCCCTTCTGTCGCCAGGTTTTCTATCTGCCGCGCACTTGTTGATGGCCTCTTTCTGTTCAAAACGCAATTCGTATTCGCCGGGTGACGAACCGATGTTCCGTGCGGCCTCGCAACCGCATCTTGTAACGGCATCCATTTTCACGTTACGTTTCATTTGATACACTGCCATTCGGTTGGAGATTCTCTTTACTGGTCTGGTCTTACTATTCAAAAATATCGGTCTGAATTGTCCGACAAATTCGCAGTGGATGCCGACAATACGATTATTTACGTATTGTTACGCGCGATATTTTTACCATCTTCGCAGTTTATTACGTCAACATTTACGAGTTGGAACGTGACTTAGAACAGCAATGTAAAAACTGAAATCCTAACCTATTAGGATTAATCTGTGAATATAAGACGATCCCGCATGTTTCGACTGAGATATTTCGGAAAAAACTGTGTCTTATATTCGTGTAATTACGGTAACTGCTCAAAACTAGACACTGAAAATACATTGATAAAAGCGGTTCTCAAAATTTCCCAGATTGATAAATACTGTTTGTCAGGAACAAGTACAACCCATTAACATAATCTCAGCTTGTCCTAATTCTGAAAACGCATGATCCAGTGTACGGTTACCTCCACTAGCACATTTGTAAAGGATTCGAAGTTCCAAATGTATGCTCCAAGTGGTACAAGCACTCACCGAAAACTATGATGTGACCTTGGACTATGAACAATATTGTACAATCAGCAAATCCAAACTGACTATAAAACATCAGCAAGCGTACCGTATATTATTTGAGATTTGGAAAAAAAAACAAACTTGTACTTGAAGTTGCTGTTTCCTGACCAGAACATTGTTACCACGGAGGCATAAAAACAGACTGTTCAGATAATTATTGAAGCTCTGGGATTTGATCTACAAAATCTATGTAAGATTTTTTTATTTTTATTTTTGTTGTGTCTTCGTAATGATGTTGACTCATTGAGCGTTCAGCGGTGGTGGTTGTTATCGTCATTGTCATTGCTGTTGTTGTTGTTGTTATTATTATTCTTACTACTACTATCATTAGGAGTAATCCTCTATTATTTTTATATAGTCATAATCATTAAGAGTAACCCTTCATTATGTTTTATACAGGCCATAAGTTATGAAGAGGACCACCAGGTAGCATCTCCACGTATGCACCTCTCCCATACACACTCCTTTGTCACTATCCAGCAGCCAGATTGGAAAGGAATTAGGATAGGGGTAGGGTTTCTGACACTTCGCAGAGGCTGGACTAGCCCTTGTGAAGTAGCCAAACTCATTTTGTTGGAACAAATTTCACATGAGATTGTCCAGGAATCAATGGTAATTTAACTCAGACCTCTCTGGTGAAAGGCGAACGACTTAGCTCTGAGCCAGTCATTCTAGGACTTGTCTGAAAAAATGAAAAATCACTATTTCAAAAAGGACATACAACTAATACCAAAAAAAAATTAATAAGAAAACAATTGAAATTTATTGGCTTTATAAGTTAAAAATGAGGTATGTGACACAAGAACTGCATAACATTTTGTTGGATGTAAATTTCTATCATGCATATTATAATTTATGAACACAAAACTGCATAAAAATAAAATGTGTTCACACAGGAATAATTACACAGAGAAGCTAAACTTATATAATTTTTTTTATAATAAATTGAATCTTAAAAAATGTTCCAAGGGGACTAGACTTTGCTCCATCCAAGAGAAAGCTTATCAAGGAACATTTAATTGAATTTATGCACCTTTTCTGTCCATTTCTACATTGTGCCATTAGCAAAAATAACTTCTATAACCTAAATTAACACAACCTGATGGCTGTAGTCTTCTGTATTATTAAACATTCTTCCCCTTCCCACATACAAATCTAACCTAATAAAAAATAAAAAGGAGTATTGCACACCAACTTACTGAATTGGTTTGTACTTCTATCTTTATAATTGCAGTTGCACAGAAAAACTACCCCGGTTATTAAAAATATATACAATTTATGCGCAATGTTAACCGCTGCCAATTAAACCATTTCCTTTTGTAAAGGACACTTGGAAATTCTGAACAGCACATCAAAATTTAATTCAATTTTGCATCATAATGGCACAAGTCTACATTTCACTGTCCTGAGAGATAAAATACAATTTATATAACGAACTTTTTTGTACATTTCTGTAAACCGAAAGGAACATTCTTCCTTTTTATTTAAAACTCTCTCTGTACAAAAGACAAGCATTTGTAGTGTTATTTCTTGAATAAATTTACAGAGCAGTTGTCTTTCTTGAATGATTGACAGGCCAAAAATGTTCAGTCTTCAAAGAAAACATCAATTTTTGTCATCACTGACATAACTTTTAAGCCACGAGTGGAGATACATCTGATCAGAACATTGTTTATTGAGTCCTGGTCATTCATCTTGCTCATGCATACGGGCCACTACTGTACGCACTTTTTTAATTATGCCACTCATTTGTTCGTACTTGCCAGTTGAATCAGGTAAATTTTCAAAATTTATAACATCACAAATATTTTTTGAAAATTTTTCTGGCTCTGGTAGCCTGGAGAATGGAGATGCACTCTTTAGAATTGGTGTTCCCAAAGATACTGATTTAACTCTCCCCAAATTTGGTGTAGTTGGAGTGGCTTTTTGAGTTAAATTATTGTCACTTGAACTTCCTCCATCTTCTAGTTCTGCAAGTAATTGTCGTTTCTTTGCCTCTAGGTCAGATAAGGATGGCGACTGTGCCCGAGGTGATGACAAACTGCTGTGCCCCTAAACACACAATTACAAGTGAAATTTATATCTCTCATTATAATTGAAATACAATGGATTTGAATGAAATGCTATTGAAACCACACAAACATAACAGATCTATCACATTTCTTTAACCCTGGAATGCCACAATAGGAAGGCTCATGTCAGTGCCTGTAATGTATCTCTTCGATATAGCTGCTTTTACTGAATATACTGCTATATACTTTTTATGAATGCAAATGACCTGAAGCTCTATTTACAGAAATATTTCTTTTATATAGTTTGTACATGTCCCACATTGCAATTATTAATTAATACGCCACTGCAGAAACCTTATCTGATTACTTATGGTGAGAAAGGTAAAAATTGACACAGCACACGCAAACATCATTTAAAATCTTGTTAAATAATATTAAATACAATTTCCACAAATTATTTTGGCATGTTCTAAACACACATATTTTACATTTTCACAAAAATATTTCGAAAATCTTTGTTGTTTTTTTCCCATTTAGCAAAGTGCATTTTTTTCATTTCCCATTTGAAGTCTCCTGCACATCTTTCTCTTTGGGAAGAAATTGTGATGGTCAATCCTATATAAGACAAATGATTACAATTTCTGAAAAAGCCCTTGCAATAGACATGGCTGAAAATAATGCCATGACACATGCCACTTAGGCCAGGTGCTCACACTGCACTGGTTCCAGCGCACACAATGTATTTGATAGATATCATGCAGCGCAATGATCAAGTTTCAACATGCTCACTGAAAGTGATTCAGCGAAAGGATAAAAATAGAAGGCTAGGTATTGTCAGAAAAGTACAATGAAGGAATATACAAACTATCAGACGACTAACACACCGCAATAATTTAGGAACATAAAATTGCAATGGCTTGGATCTCATAGATTATTGCGGCACTCCTGGGTTAAAGTGATAAAACTCGCATTAAAAGCATTTATCTTTTCAGTGTAATCTACACTTGTAACAATGCTAGAGTATTCAGTATCAGAGTATATTCGAAGAAAAACATCCTTGGAAATTACAGATAAAATAGAACAAAGTAGTACATTTTTCTGTAACTGGAACTTCCAACAATCATAAGGCTATTTAATAATAAATTATAAATGAACAATGAAATATATAATTGTATTGTTGCAGATATAGGCTATCCAAGAGACACGGCGCCCTAGTCTCCGTTGCCTACTGTGAGTAGGATATGGCGTCTCCAGGACAGCCACGTCTTTATTGACTTTTATACTAATCTCTTCTAAATTGAACATTTTATTTTATTCAATTTCTGCATTCAACAAACACAGTATACTGGTGTTTTAGTGATATATTCTATGGCATTTGGTGTATCTCAATACACCATGTATACAATTGACAAAAATGATTGATAACTTATAGCTATGTAACAGATACACATGTAAATACTTATTTTTACAGGTATATGATATTTGCATTCATGAGTTTGCAAGATATTCTGAGTTAACCCCATTCTATCTATCTACCTCAAATACGCAGAATATATGCCAAATATTGATGTCAGGATTTTGAAGGAAAAGGGGTAACAAATACTGAAAAAATGTTGCTTTTTAAACATATCCACCAGTCTGTTCGTTTCAGGACAACATTGGCATCTAATCCATGCCCAGGATTTTTTCCAAAATAGATGTTTTCTGATTATCTGGTTGCAATAACACAAATTTTAAACACTTTTTTTTATTTTTTATTAAGCAACTGCTCATCCTATTAAGAACCTGTCATCCTTCAATCCGAGATCGCTACAACACTACTGCCTTAGTGATTTCGGATAGGCTTTTTAGGGATACTTTACTTTATAATAAAACTTCCTGATATTTTTAATATTTTCTCATAATTATTTTTTGCTAGATTAGAACAAAATTCACTTATTATTCACTCAGGCTGATCTAATTTTCATTAAAATGTCTGAATGTTTGAAAACTGCAAACACAAAGAAAAAAACCCTTCATCCCTCCAACTAAATTATTGAAGATACAGATTTCTCTTAACGAAATCTGCTCTTTATATTAGATCTTAAATTGATACTTCCAAAATATGAGTAGTTTCTACAAATTTTTGAGTGAATAGGAGTAATTAAAAAAAAGGAACAACAACAAAACGCTTTTCTCAAAAAACATCTCAAAGCTTTTTCTGAAATCTTTTTGCATCCATAGAACACAAAACAGAATCTTGTGACATAAGTGCTAATGACAAAATCTCAAAAATTAATTCCTGACTTGTCAAAAATAATGCTTTTCCCCCATCTTTTTTTTTCAAAATAATTCTCTCTTCATTAATATTAACATTTCAGGCATGTAATTAACATGTACATGGGAACAAATCTATACTAATGAAAGTGTATTTAATGACATGTAACAGACCTCAATGCCAAAAGAAATAAGTAAGAATAGATATGAAATTTGTACAGTCTCTTCATCAGGATTGGTGCAACGTCCTTTCAAAGTCTGATAAAGATTAATAGAACACAAATACGGAAAATAAATAATTTAAGTAGGATAAAAGATGCACTACGATCATTATTTTTCACCTGTTGCTAAGAGCAGAATGGTTTGTAAAATATAAAGCCAGATGCCATTAGTGTTGCAGCAGGTTTGGTTTTGGTAGTAATAGTTAAGTTCGTAATATATTCTGCTTGAGGCCAGTAGCGTTACAGCAACTGTCACCTTAGATTTCCTATAGGCCAGTAACAGTGCATAAGATAAAAATAAATAATCTAATAACATTATAATGAAAAATAAAATGAAAGAAAGTTATGGTATTTTATTAAAATTTGAACAAATTGCATTAAAAATAATGATATAAAACACTGAGATTTATATAAAGTTGATCTTTTTCCTCATTCACAAGGATTGGGTAAGAAGAAAGCCCTCGCAATACTGGGTATTTTCCTAGTGCTTCATTTATCATATAAGTTTGTCATAATCTCACAAATTTGTGTAACTGTGTTAAAAGCTTGCAATTTCAGAAATACTAAATGGATTCTAAATGGATAATAGGGATATTGTATAGTAATACTTACTGTTGAGAGAGGTGAACATGGTTCCTGACTGCGGCATTCGCCACCTTCTGAATCACTTTCAGTTGTTGATGGAGGGGGCGGTGGCCTTGGAGGTGTATCTTTAGGCAACGGAGGAATAAACCGGCAATCATCATCTGGCAGCAAATTCACAGTATCTAAAAAAAATATTAAAAACCAATTTAGATAAATGTTAAAAAACGATAAATAACTTGTAAAATATTTCGAATGTATTTTAAATAAGTCGAGAGAATACACAGAGATCCATCTTTTTGAACTTGTTACAGAGCAACACAATGATAGTGCACTGGTTTTGCATTGCAATGCATCTGAATTTCACTACAATATGAATGTGTATTGTCCACTTCCTCTATGTCTATGAATAGTTTACATGGTTTACAATATAGTTGACATAAACGATAAATATAATTCTTTTTTTTCCCAACACTTTCATTTCATTTTAACATTTGCTTATCTCTTCAAAAACAAAAATTAAATATTTCATGGAAAAGCAATTCTTGGATAACACAAGGGATTAGGACATCATGTATAAATAAACAAATTCTTTCTTTCATTTCTAAGCATCATACTGTATTTCAAGATTTCCTCCTCTACTTAAAAAAATATAAATCAATGTTACGAAAAGTCATAAGGCAGGCGAAAATCATGAAACATAATCAGGATATTTTAAACTCAAATAATAAAGCAAAAGCAATGTGGAAAATAGTAAAAAATTTGACCAAATCAACTAAAAACCTCGTAGAGAATTTTGTTTTAAAAGATAATGATAGAAATGTGAACGATCTGAGTGACTAGTCTCTTCAACCAATACTACTCGAAAATTGCTGCCGATCTCACTAAGGGTCTCCAGCCACAAAATTCTACATCAGTCTTTTCCCCCAAAAATTCAGACAGATGTTCGTTTCCGAAACTTCTTCCGATGAAACTAAATAATCAGTAGACTAAAAAATAAATATACAGACAGTTTAGATGAATTTCCAAATTGTTTATTAAAGACTTATGTGCCCGCCATTATTTACCTGTAAACTCACCTATTTAATGTATCCTTATGCACAGGAATTTTTCCAGATATTTTTAAAACAGCAAAGATTAAGTCGCTTTTCAAAAAACGCAACAAAAATGGAACAGAAATATATTGGCCAATTTCTCTTTTGTACGTTTTTTCAAAAATATCATACTTTTTTACTTGTGAATGGAAACACTTCTTAGTAAACACGATGCGTGTTCAGATTGCCAACATGGGTTTCAAAAATCAAAATGTACAGAAACAGCACATGTACTCAACAGCATACAACAGTGACATTAGTCATCAGTATAGCGTACAAAAGAAAGATCTCTCTAATATCAGGTATCAATACAGCATGCTAATACATGTCGTTCCTGGAACTAATACGAGATGATTCTCTCATGGATGACAGTTTTGTCTTGCTAATTCATCTAGCAGCACGTATGTGAGAGTGCTTCAGTTATGCCCAGGTGTTTCAGTAGTCTAAGCAGAAAATTAAATGATTGGAATGTGCCATCAACAAAATGCACATGTTTTCTCAACAGATGGAAAAGTTGTACAAACATTTATTTCCTTGTGAATTTTATACTATATATTTTAAAGATTATTTGCATATTTTAAAGACTGATCACGTGCATTATATGGCATATTTTAGGCACATCGGGCTCTAGTCATAAGTCAAAATTATGCTAACTTCTGACCCTAAGGTAGAAAAAAAATATAAGCAATCACACAAGAAAGAAAATAACATAAAAAGCTCATACCAGAAACTTCTTCAACTTCCATATCTGATTGAGAATGGATTGGTTCCTCCAATTTTTCAGCCCTCTTGGCAGTCACTAATAAACGTTTCCTTTTATAGGCACGTGTTTCTTTGCTTTGAAGAGATGACAGCATCTTTTGCTTACTGTGCATATCCTGTATAGGTGGGCACCGATAGTAATCTGAATCCTAAATGTGAGAGAAACAAGCAAAGATTAAGAATTTTACGTACAAGTTATTACTATAGTCTATAATAATCAGATACATATTATTTATTTAATTTTCCTATTGGAAACAAAAATTTTCAGAATATTTATCAGTCTGACTTTTCTATTAATATGGATTGTAAGAAATTGAACTATTTAACATTAATTTCAAGTTGGTACTTAGCTTCTTAATTTGTAGTCACTTGATTAATAATAATAATAACAATAATAATAATAATAATAATAATAATAATAATAATAATAATAATAAGAAGAAGAAGAAGAAGAAGAAGAAGAAGAAGAATTATAATTATAATTATAATTATCATCATCCACAGATAATACAAACTTGGGAGAGAGAAAAAAAAAGAAAAGAAATGAATATCTTTTTTTTTTGGATTTTAACTTTTTCATCTCAAGGAAAAAATAAATAATCTTGTTTTAAAGATTGTAGTAAACAGGTAGACAGGAAATAAAATGGATCAGAACATTGACAATTCTAATCTAAATCTATTTGCAGTAATATTTAAATGGATTACATTTGATGTTAGTTTTTACTTAGGTAAAAAGCATTTGCAAACTAAATGACGTAAATTACAGGTATTCTGCAAGAAGTAACACATTTATTTTGTATTATTAACACATTTAACTTACATCTTTCGTACCAGGTTTTGCAGCAACATTGAAACCTGGAAAACTTATAATCTTTTTAATGTCATATTTATCTCTTGAGTCCCCAGTCACTATTTCTCCCTCTTCATCTTCTGGATCTGCCACCTCTACAAGAAAATGCAACATATTGCTTATAGAAATTATTATTTAATTACACAGTAGGAAAGAATTATGTATAAAAAACAAATTCAGGGACACAGCATTATAAGTATTATACATTAATATATGGTATTAATAAGCTGCGGATTTTTGCCAATTTGCCTATTTTTTTTCTTTCAAAAGAAAACACAATATTTTATGTTACTTATTCATTTTAGGACTTAATGAGTATATAAGAGAATTTTATATTGCCTATAAATGTCTATTTCACTAATAAAGGCTTATTTTGTGTTTAAATGCCTAAATGTTGCAAATTCTCATATTTATTGACCAAAATGCAATTATTCTTAATAACTTTTTTTAAATTGTATGGTTTTTTTTCGTTTTTATCCTGCAGATTTTATGCTACAGAGAAATCGAGTAACTGCTGATAAATCTATGTGCCGTTCTACTATCACCACAGAGCGGTGTATTATAAAACAGGTGTAGAATCATTGATAATTATTTTTTACTTCGAATTTTTAAATTATTTTTTTACTCAAAATATTGCTTCAATTTTTTCGGAATATTTACTCCTTGTATGTATCTAAGAATGATATAAAAATTGGTGCCGGTTCCATTTTTTCGTGAACCCTGTATTTTCGGAAATTATAATATATTTTCTCAAACATAATAGATCTCCTTGTGTTAACAGGAGGAACTTTAAAATTAACACCTTTTCAAAAGCACACAATAGTTGCTTGATACCGATGAAGATTGGTTTTAATGTGTGTAGTGCAACCGTTCACTTCCTGTCCTGCAAAGGCTGTGTACCCAAATGAAGAAGGAACTATGATTATAAGTCATTTAAGAGAAATAATTACTCTATCTTGTTTATCCTACTTCCCTTATTTCTTTGAAGGTAGGTGCACTTAATTTTGATAAAAGTAAAATTCGCTGAAATGAATTGTGCTATGAAGAAAAGTCACAAAAGGAACTACAACACACATTGTAAAAATCATATTCATCAAGTGTCAGTATCAACAGCCCACTATCAGAAATCTACATTACTTTACAATGCATTGTCAAATTTTTTCTTCTGCATAACTGTTTCTATACGGGTTTTTGTCCATTTTCCCTGATTCATTGAGCAAATGCTGAGATGGCCCTTTGATTTGCTTCTGGACGCTTCGCTATGTGCACGTTTTGTTGAACTGTCCTTTTGCTTATAAACGTAGGAGTAGAGGTACGGGCAAGTTACTATTTTGTTATCAATGCAGAAAAATCATACATGCAACTCATTTACCGTTGGAAATTTTCTATATCTCGGAAATGAAAATGTCTATTTTTTTCAAATACTGCTAATCTCACGATTTTTAAAATAAATTTTTATTTATTTATTTAAAACTTTTACTCATATTTCAACTATTTATAGTTGAAATGACGGTAAGGGATTCTGGAACTCAAGAAAACGGGAACAGATAATCTTCTCCCCCACGCGTCACATACAGTTGTTGTTGGTTTTTTTTTTAACAAAATAAATCTAAGTACAGTGTACTATTGGACAACTGAGACTCAAGAAAGGAGCTACCTCCACAAAATTGCCAGTGTTCTGGGTGCGAATCCAAAAGAGATAGCAGAAGGCTCAAGGAAATTTGCAAATGGCAACACCAGAGAGCACAGAAACATAATCAAACTACATTAGAAAGGAGCTCTTACCACTTTTGATGCTCTTTGTCAAAAAGAAGAAAGAAACAATATTGGCAAAAAATGGATGATTGTGTAAAGTGAAGAGTGAAGTCTGTATCTGGTTTGGATTGGTTTCTGTTTTACCAAGGTCAGTAATTTCCGTATCATTTGATGAAATTTTGAATCAGCCTGTTCAGTCACGATACAGCATTGAAAATGCTGAGAAATAATTTCCCTACAGTGATTAGTAATTTCAACAAATTGATTTATATCTTGGACAAGTTGATGCATTTGCAAGAAAACTAGATGACTATTCTCGTAGTACATTTAGAGATGTAAATGCTATTGTGAGCAGGTAAGTAAAAGATGTAGAAGATGCACAAGCAAGTTAAATTTATTATTAAACAGGTCTATTTATTAATTATTGAACAAGAGATACAGTGCTGATCTGTCTGCTTTCAGACGTATTTTGCTTTCTGTTATCCCTCATACATACAATTTTTTAAGGATATCGTGATATGTTGTCTGTCCACAACTACACACAGTAAGAGCAAGCAGATGAGAATATTTTGAAGTGTGCTAAAGAAGAGAGATTCAAAACAATGCACTAACCATCTAGTCTTTTACTGTTTGCATTATATAAACTCCCCTATTATTTCAGCAGTATAACTTTTATTGCTCTTAAACGCATCAAATTTTTATAAATGAGGTCTCTAAAGAAAGAGAATTTCACAAAGACATGACAAATTTTCCCCTAACAAAAATATGCAGGATTTGTTGAAAAAAGACACATTTCAATATTCACGTCAACTGCAACCCGCAACACTAGGGCAGCATTGTTAAAATCTATTTAGTAAAATCCTAAAAAAAGTGTTTTAGAACCTTAAAATCGGGAATTTTGAGGCTAGTGGTCTCAAAGACACAAGTTCCTCACACCCTATTCTGTAGAACAACAGATTCAAGGACATTCTATTACATTTTGCATGTTCAGCACTTCTCGATACTACCCCACAAGTTCAGAGATGTCCAGAATCTGCAACTGTACGTGAAATTAAACTAATTACCGACATTCAAGGCAACTGAATTGCATGGATGTACTTTTCATTTTGGTAATAAAATTAAATAATATTTCAAAGAGTAGGGTTGTACTTGCCCAATACTGTATTTTCACATGGACAATTTTACTTAGATTTCATAAGAGCAAAGAGCTTTTCTAATATTTTTGTGACTATCAAGCAAAACTAAAAGCTATTTGTCAAGCACGCTTAATTACTTCAAATGTTGTTTTTAAGGATTGCTATGAATTATTTCAAGAAAATCTGTCAGTAACACTGAATAATCCTTTATTGAAAATTTGTTTCAAACATAATTTTTACTTTCTCGTACTTACTAACTTAAGAAGAGAAAGTATTGCAATCGTGTGCTGGAAAACGGCGAATTTTGACAAGAAAACTTATTGCCGGGCTGGTAACAAAATGTGGATAAATGCAGTTCTTAAATATAGGAGGGAAAAAATTCTGTTGTCAAAATAACAAAGTCTGTTGTACGAAATAAGCTCTCATTTTGTAAAGTTAGTAGTTTTCACGAAATTTCTGTTTGAAATGAATTAAACATATATAGGTATCCTGGAGTTCTCACTCAGGTGTGATAGTATACTGTCTAATTGTTAAAATGAATTTTAATTCTTTTTTAAAATTCTTTTAAATGGTTTCATGATATCCTACACAAATAAATCTGGTTAAGTATAATAATGAATATTACACAAAATACTGCAAAAATTTCTTGTTGTAAGTAAAGTAAATTCTGAGATAAAGGGTCAGAAATATAGTCGATTTAACATTGGCTAGATAGGACTGTCAGATTCCCCTTCAAGAGCTTATTTCGAGGCTTAGATAGCATTAAAATAGCAAGATCTTCAATACTAAAAGTGTAAACTGTTGAAAAAAATTTCAACTTTTGCAATATTTGAAACGCCTGAGGTTTTAATGAAAATCTGACATACTGTATTCACAAGCCCTTTTAGCACTATTCGAGACATTAACTTAAAGAAGAAATTTGGTGCTATTTTTTTTTTTTTTTAATTACTGTACTTCAAGGACTTCACATAAACCACCACCAAAAATTAAAATAAGGAACTCAAAATGAACAAAATTTCCATCAAAATCTCCAAGACTTTTTAATCATTTAATAATTTTCTCTGTTTTAGGTAAACAGAAAAATACAATACTCATAACCGAATCCAATAAAACTACATATAACAATCCATTTCTCAAAAACAAGAATTTTATTATTAATTAGAACAATGTACTTCACACTCCTATCCTTAACAACTTCACCTGCAAAAATTGCCCTTGTCTAGGAATGCCAATTCAGTTCCTCTAAAGCAACACAAATCAGCTTTTTAAATCAGTTGTAAATATTTAAAATACAATATCAAAAAGGTCTTGCAGCCCTGAAATGACATTTTATTGGCAGATTAAATTTGCTGGTTAAGAATCTTACCTTGCCCTTGAGAATCAAACATCACAAGTCCAGAGTGTGACACTTTAGCATCTTCCATCCAACCCGGAGGGTAACCCAAAAGCCTCATGCGATAAATGTGCCGAGGCAATTGATTATGAGAAAGTCCCAGTGCCTTACTTAATTCATTACTAATTTCACCAGGGGCAAAACGGGCAAATCTCTGGTCATCATCTAGATGGTATCGGCTGTCAAAATAAAATACACAAAAACATTAGTACAGGACATTGATTTGTTTTCTCAAATAACAATAAGAAAGCGAATAAATAGTACGAAAGCAGTAACACATCTAGAATAAAACATTTTAAATTATTAAGCAATCATATGTCTTACATTACACTTCAAAATATTAAAAACTAGCCGAACCCTGCAGACGTTCTTCCCTTCATCTCCCTTTCTCTTTGTGTCCCCCCATCTCCCACCCACAAAAAATGTAATAGAATGTTCAAAAAGATCTCATCATGTAGATAACAGTGTGAGAATCATTTCTTTGAGGCCATTGGCATTGGCATTTTAGTTTATACTGCCTTAGAACGCTTCACTTAGAGGTTATTTAACGATATAGAATCAAAAAACTTGCAGCTTGTTGCAAGTTGCATTTGACATGAATATTTAGTTTTGTTCTACAGCACCATTTAGTGAATTTTTCCAATTATTTAATAGTTATTCTTCTATTCGGGGCGAAGATGAATCCCACAAATCAGAGATAATTAAAATTGGTCCAGTTGCTCTTGAGTTATACATGCTGTAACTAATCTTATTTAATACATACATAGATACATCACACTTCAGTCATAACTTAAATATTACACAAAAACGCTCTTTAATAACTTTGTAGAAACTACACATTAGCTTATGCTATATAAAAGATTTTAAACTAAATATTTACAAATTATGCACATGCATAAACATTTTAAAAAATGGGGTATCTATATAAAAAAAATTACAAAAATATTGAAAAAGACAAGACAAAAAACTATTTCTAGATTAAAAATAAAATGTTAATAATTCACATTCATATAATACCTGACTCTTGAATAATTTCCATGCTTGTTCATAAATTCTCTTCTATTCTTGTTGATAACTGTAGGGTCTCTTGGTTTGGGACAATCCTTCAAGCTGTGATCTCCCATGCAATTGAAACATGTTGATAGAGCACTTTTCTGCTCCGATTCCTTCTGTTGCTCAACAACAGAAAATTTCTAAAAGTACAAGAAATAAATTAATGGAACACACATTTTAAAATTTATCTGCTATATTTAATTAAAACTTATTTTCATGGGAAAAGATAAAAAAACTATTTTTGAACTTTCCTTCATTTAGTGCAAGATTTTGAGAGAACAATTTGATAAAGTGGCATCATAGGTAGCACTAAAGTTACACAATGGGAGTTTAGTCATGCCATAAGGAAGGTAAGAAATGTGCAACACTTGCAAAAGGCATTTTTTTCAAATTTAAACACTAGCTTAAACTTCATAAGGTTATAATTTAATATTTAAATCAAGCTACAAACCCGATCATAAGCAGGAATATCCAAATTGTCTTTCAGGGTTGGAGTTGTGTCAATTGTAAATAAATTATCATTGGAATGTTCACTAGAATTCTCTTCTGCATCATCTTCCCAAATGTCTAATTCCAAGTCTGATGCATCACAGTCATCCTCTTCTGGTTCATGCTTACGAATTAATTCCTTGAAAAATTGTTTCACTGCTTTCCTGTATTTTCTGCGCAAATCAGAATAATTAACTAAAATAATATTTTTTTAAGAAAATAGTCATGCAGTAACACATTAGTTTTGGTGAGTATTTCATAACATATAGGCAAAGATCTGCACTGCAATTCCACAAAAAGAGTAACATTAAAATTTGTGAATATTAAAAACTTTACAAGACCAATTCTCAAGGTATGAATTATTCGTTAAATTAAACATATTATTCACATAATTTACAATTGGATTCTGTCTTAGAATCTCTTTTCTCAAAATAACACGTCCCTTTTTTATACATTCACTGTAGAAATTTGGATTTATTTATTGATAGCAAGGAAAAATCAATATCAAAGCATATTCTTTGCAGTCTCCACTGACGTTTCGGGAGTTACTGCACCCCCATCTTCAGGTTTGTGTGTTTAGTAAAACAAATTTTAATTGAATCACAATAGACCTGAAGGTAGGGCAGTGGTAAACTTCTGAAACATCATTGAAATTGGTGAAGCATGTGCTTTGATATTGACCAGTGGTGTAGCGTCATCACATCCCTTCGTTATTTAGCTGGTTTTATGATTTCTAATCTTTAGAGTATGTTTTTCATTTTCTTTATGCAAAAATATATTGTCCTCTCTGCATCTCTTGATGCACTTCAGACCACTGTATTGGTTACAGTACCTGGTTTTGTAACACTGTGGTTTCGCATAAGAGAGTCACATCTGTTCTCTGTGTTCTATTCTGCAGCAAGGCCAATGAATGAACTTCAAGAAGGTTGCCAACTGAGGATCCAGGCTTACAAATCATGTGACTGTATGCGTTTCTGCAAACGCATCTGATATACAAGTCTCGACTCCAATAATTTCATTCACTGGTCTCCAGGCACAGTAGCATACCGACTTGGCAGAAGCAGTTTAAATTTTCTTCACCAGGGGGAGTTACTTATATAACCAGTTAATCATCTTAATTAGTATAACCTTTTTTCTTCAAGCGTCTAGATGATGTTGTCATGTTCGAATATTTGATAATTAGGGTCAATCAAGGGGTTTTATGATAAAGAAAAGCAAACTTTTCACCTTACCCTAAACCATTTGCAGCAAACACATTAAAAAAACAACTGAATAAATGTCTTTTGGTTCTAAAGATGTGAACAAAGTAATATATAACTTAAAACATACCACAACTCTTTAAAAAAAAAAGTAAAACAAACAAACATTAAAGGCTGGGGTCCAATTAGCCCCACCTGATGGGGCTAATACTAAACATTGATAGGGCTGAATTAGGATTGGGAAACAACTAGTGGGCTACACCTATGGCTACATTAGACCCTAAGGTGACACACCTTAGATTCTAGTGTCTCAAAAGGTGGTTGTTGTTGTTGTTTTTTCTTTCTTTTTTTTTCTCCCTATTGCTCTGTCCAAATATTGTAACATTTTGAGTTCCTGCTATATGGTCATTAATAATAAAATATATCTCCTATTATTTGCTATTGTTTGTTCGTTTTGGATATCAATAAGTTTGTTAATTTTGGATATCGATAAGTAACTCTACAAAGGTGTCTAAATACCAGATCTCAGTAAGAAGTTAAGGCAACCAGTGTTTTATTGATGAATTATTTGCTACTTTTTATTGCATTCCCTACCCTATCTTTGAGGAGATACCACTGATATTGACATTTACTTGATATACAATAAATAAATTAAAACATCTAATATTTTTTAAAACAGGAACTTAAAACATTCGAGAAAATTCCTCACATTACAAATTACTAAATGCACACAAAAATATAATATTCAAAATGTTATAAACAATTAGGGCACTTCTTCACCACTGATAGCTTTTAGTGGCTACAATAATGTTTGAACGGTTTCATTTTTGAAAAGTAAGTAATACATCCCAATATAAAATACAATGATAACCGAGCACAAACCTTATTGATTAGAATACATTAACCACATTGTATCAAGGTCGATGATGTAATTTGGCTCATGAACGTAATTTGAATATAAGTGAAATAATATCAGAAATCTTCTGTTTAATGTACACATCTCACTCATTCAATAGTATTCCTCAAATCAAAATCCCACCACTGTCAAAATAATTTCACATGTTTTTTATGAACATAAAAAACTAACATATTCAATAATTTTACGATTACTGAATTTTTAGGTGTATGTATGAAGTAATGAGATCACAATAAGTAAAAATAATGTATTTAATACATTATACACTTATATGATACTGTGTACACTGTACACAAGTGTATAATGTGTTAAATACACTATTTTTACTTATTGTGGTCTGATTACCTCAACTACCACTAGATCTGGGCTGAAACCATGAAGATAAATTGAATTAGTTATAGTATTAGACTACAGCTGTTTTAACATGCTAAAAACGTATTTTTCGATTGTTTTCATATATCCCTCGTAACCACAATCCTCTTGATCCACGTAAGTGATACTATGTTTTACACATATTTTTACACTATTAGAAGTAAAAAAATTATCCCGTTTTTTACAAATTTCATTTTAGTACACTCCTTTCGCACATTTATAACATGAATGTTAACCTTACATTTTCATCCAGAACAACATACTTTAAAATTAAGCTTTGAGGAAACATCCTCTAAATAAGAGAACTTGGGGCAAACCATTCAATGTTTGTTCTCTGAAATACAATTCCTTTAATATTCCTATAGAGTTTGGAAGCTTCTATCAACAACATGCACATAACCATACGACAATATATGAACTCGTTCCTTTGATATAGAAACTAGTGTCAACTTAAAAATACTTCTGAGGAATGTACAACTGATATCGTTTCCCTTGTGAAGAGTTATCAATCACTACATGTTTAATTCTTAGACTACAGTGAAGAAAAACAGCCACAACTATAACTTTCATGATTACGTAATGATAATGGTAACTGTCACTTATAAAACGATCACGGCAGCCAGACACTAACCTCGCCAAGTCCCGGTTTCTAAAGGTAATACTGAATGCTGGCCGTCGTTTTTCATTTCCATTCGCTTCAGTAACGGTACGGATTGTTGAATGCTCCCCATCATTAACATTGTTCACTGGTCCACACTCCTTATAAGATGATTTGGCGGGCGGGTAACAGCTTTCTGCTGGGGACTCAGATCCCAATTTCACGCACCTCTCATTGCAATCGGAATCAACACTTTCTTCGGGCAATGATGCATCGGCACTGATAGAACTGCAGTCATTAATATCTTCAACACATTGTTTATTAGCAGTTTCTGCCATAGTTCAACAAAACAACACAGTACCGTCTGAATATCGAAATCAATCTTTTAACCCGCTGACAAACTCGACGCGCCCGCAGTTACGCAGGCCTCAGGCGTCCATGAACCAGTCGGCTGTGACTTATGTCGAACAAATGAAGGAAGGACGGGCGTAAACATGCGATTAATGATCACTATTGTCTAAAGCCACGAAGATTGTTCATGCCTATAATACTTGTCTTCCTACGTAAAATACATAACTTCGATGTAATTAATACACTTTAATAATATTACTGTTATGTTACTTAGATAATTTATTGTTAATATTTTCAATCTCTAGATTTGTGTTTCGATTACGCACTTAACCTTCACATGTTTTTAAGTTGATGGAAGTTCTAATAAATTTCCTTGATAACTTCACAATTCCTCCTATATACTCTTTGCTCCTCAGGATATTACACAAGCGCACAGGCCGGTGGGTGTTCTGTGCTCCTGAGCAAGACCGTAGACAAAGGATTCTGCGCTCCTGAGTCTTGAGTTCCTCTGCCAAATTCGTAATAGCGCCAAAATTCGAACATTTCAAGTGCCCAAAACAAGAGTTTCAAATAGTTTATATTCAGTACCAGTCAATTCTGTTGGTCTTTTTAATTGCATTTTAGGACACTGGGATTTATTATCCTATCTTACAAAATGGAGATTTGTGCACGCATACAGTTGTGACAGGTGACAGGGGTAAGAAGAGTTTGAGAAAAATCGTAACAATATTGTGTTAATAATTTTATAAAAGTTAAAAATTAGTCAATCTTATTTCTCAGAGGTATTTGAATTTCGCCGTCCTCTTGTTATGTGAAAAAAAAAGCCAACTTACGTGCACGCAGTGATTTTCGAAGGCAATATCAGCTGCGTTGGTATATACAGCGTCAGTTGTGTCGCGACAACTTTCGTCGAACATAAAAGTGATAATGATGGCGAAATGATATAAGTCACAAAATCGAACGTCAAAATAAGCGTTGGCTGGAATGGCAATGTTCTGCTTGATTTTGTCGCCACTCTTTCCGGCTTCTGTAGGTCGGTAGTTTTCGAAACCAGTCGGTCGTGTATGATGGGGTCAGATGCGTCACCATTTTGATCGTACCACCCTACTTTGGTGACATTTTTACTTCCTCGTTCACGTACTATAGAATGTAATGAGAACTCTCGGAAGTATTTTTGAGGGTGCCGATTAAAGAGGTAATTTTGAGAGTGCCGATCAGGTGCAGATGTAATGCACAGCAATGGTGTCTCCTAGTCAGTGAGAACGGGGGATGCGATCAGAGGTTTGCGGATTAAACATAGCAGATTAAGGTACAATCTAATCGACATCGTACTATATAATGTTTGTGTATTCTATATTAAGATGAACATACCTTCTCCGTACTCTTTGAGAATTGCTAATTTTGCATTGTTTGCTCCGACAATAATACACAAAAATACATAAAAACATGAACAATACAACTAATTGTTTAATTAGAGGTCGATTCGCCGTTATGTTCTAGCGTACTTAAGAGCTAAATATAATTTTTGAAACCTATCATACGATAATACTCACGAAAACCTGGTAACAAAAAAAACTACTACCAGTCGAGTGCGGTAAGAGTACTTTGTCTGAACTAATAACACCCTCTTTACATGCTAAATCAACGTTCTGAAACAGAGATGTTGGCAATCACAATGGTGTGAAGTGTGGTCAAGACATCCTCATCCCCAACCCTCGGTACGTAGTCTACAGTTGTTAGCACGAGACCACTGGGATTCCCAATCCTACTGAAAGAAGAGGAGATTTTCGAAGGAGGAGATGGCGAAGCTTTGGGAAAAGGGATGCAGACGCTCCAATGAAAAGTCCGAGATGCGATAGTACTCTGCGTCGCATCACTAGGGAAGAGGGAGCTTATGCACACCGTAACGGACAGCACTATCGATCTGCGCATGCGCAGATGCCCTAAAATAGGAAGTGTGTGCCACCTCGAGCGTTAGGGCACTATCGATCTTCTGCTTATGGTAAGTTCAAGTTTCGCACCAATTTAGTGCATCTGCGCATGCGCACAAGATCGATAGTGCTGACGCTATGGCGTGCACAAACTCCCTAATGATGTAAAACTTGAACTGCGAATGCGCAAAAGATCGATAGGGTTTAAACGTTCGAAGGTGCACAAACTTCCAACTTTTGTGGATCTGCGCAAGCAAGATAGTGCTGTCCGCTATGGCGTGCAAAACTTCCCTAATGGCGGGCGAAACCTCGCATCTTGCGTACGGTCATGGTGAGAATTCAATGACCGCGATAACGAAGCGAAGCAGAAGGGATGTTTCTCAGCCTGTCAATTCTACGGAAGTGACAGACGCCTACCGGCGCATGGGCAACACGAAATATACTAATGGAAAAGATAGATATGTACTCGAGGAATAGAAAAAGCCAATAAGTTTAACAAAGGTTTAAAAAAAGAGCCGAAAAATTTGGGGATGTGACTCATCGCTCGCATCCATTGAGCCCACGCCACCGATGCACGATGTAATGTAAAGCTGTTGGAAGTACATGTCGAGATTTTAACGGAATTACACGTTAAGGGGGGTCCCTGAATTAAAAAAGTAATCATAAAATGAAATATGAAATAATATACAAATGTTAACTTACGTAGCATCCAATTGCGTAAATTGTGAGTGGGCGACTGAAGGCTAGCAATCTTTATTTCATATTTATTTTAAATAGGTTTTTAAATAATTGCCAAAATATTACTTTGTAGACGTATAATAAAAGCTCCAGTGTAAGAAACCAACAAAGAAATGTGAAATACTATATACTTTTTAGCATTCATCTGCTTCCAAACATCTACAATTACGATCAAGAAGCGCAGTATTTTCAGAGCGGGCTTCGACATCGACGCGCAATTACTCCAAAAATACTCATAGTTTCGAAAAATTAAAATGACCTTATTTGAAAATCTGTTTTTGATGAACACATTGCATTAAGAAAAACAATGTAACTTCATAATTGTAGTTGTAGAAAGACATCGTAAAAATTTTGAATTTTTTCAATTGTCGAAAAATCAGGGTTTTCAACCAACATTAAACTTGCACCGCTTTATTAAATGTACTTCAGACTATCTACCAACAAAATTTCATCAAAAACGATAGAGCCGTTTTTGAGAAAAAACTTGTTTAAACAAAAATTAAAAATTGTCTACATTTCACTGAACATTACGCAAAAAGCCCTCACATTTTCGAAAAACTGTACATGACATCATATCAAAATATATCTTTCACGAACATATTTTATTACGGACCAAAATCTTTAATATTTTAGTTGTAGGAAGACGCCGAAAAACCGAGTGTTCAACCAACTTGATACCTACGCCATTTCGAATAATACAATTTCCACAGTGAGTTTGAAACACTAAAAAATGTGGTTTTGTTAGTGTTTAATAAATTCACATGAAATAATAAACATGAATTTCAGTAGAAAACTTATTTTAGTGTTCCTTTGGCTTATTTTTTTTATTGACGTCAAAAACAGTTAAAAACTGTGTGTGAAGTGCTACGGGAATAAGTTAATTTGCAGTTACATTTATGTCCAGGAGCAAAACAAGGGTCCATCTAAGCATTTGCTCCAGCATCAGGGAAACTGGACGAAAACATGATCGAGTTGGGGGCCATTGACCCCGAAGATGAAATACAATGTTTGGCATAGGTTCTTTAAAATCCAAATTGTAAATAATACATTAAATGACATTGTTAAAATTAATGTTACTTACATTTCGGATATTCGGTATAGTCTCTAATTGTATAGAAACAGTTGTGCAGCAGAAAAGATTTTACTTAAGACTTAAACTTTTGTATCGAATTTAATCGTTTAATATCATCAGGCAAAGTGTTGTAAAATAATGTACATGTATTATATGTGAATTTCTTGTAGTGAGCTGTTGATACTGTTACCTGATGAATATGATTTCTACGTCGAGTGTAGTAGTTATAGACATGAGCGTTTGCTGAAAATATATTCCCGCCCTTAAATAAGTAATTTTTGACAAAACCCACTGATTCATACATCAATAGACTAGGTAATAGTAAAATATCTAGATTAATAAAGAGAGGCTTACAAGAATCACGTGGATGGGATTTGCTTATTATCGTATTCTTTTTTGTAATCTAAAAGTCTGAGAGCTATAAGATGCATTTCCCCAGAATAGTATGCCATATCTCAGGCGGGAGGCTGACTGAATTTGAAAGAATTCTGAAAGCAAAGCATAAAGAACGTAATTTAGTGTTCAATTCATGTAAATGGACGTTCCATTTAAGGTTTGACTGAACTGAAAGACCGACAAATTTTGTTACTTTAACATCAGTTAATGGCATACCGTTAATTTTCAGTGAAGTTCAGAGCCGTTTAATTGAAATAGAAAACTGCATTGAAACAGTTTTCTTTTCATTTACTATTAGTTTGTTATTACGGAACCAATTTGAAATATCTGATATTCTACTATTTACGGTTTCTTTATTGCAAAGAATATTCGTATCATCCGCAGGAGAGTCCATCCGTTTGTAATCGTCGGGGGCATTTCGTTTACGTATAGTAGGAAGAGAAGATGACCTCAAATCGATCCCTGCGGGACTCCACATGCAATTGGCAAAGAATCAGAAAGATGTGTACATGTTTCATTGTTCCTGTAAGATATTTCTTCCCTTTGAGATCGTTGTTTAAGGTACGAACATAACCAATCTAGAGCAATACCACAAATTCCATTCGAAGGTAATTTTGAGAGTAAAATGATATGATCAATGCCGTCAAAATCTTTTGAAACATCTAAAAATATTCCAATAGGTGCTTCGTTTTGATTCATGGATGAGGAGACATCTTTAAGAAAAGAAAATGTTTCTTTTTCTGTAGATTTTGATTTTCGAAACCCATGTTGACAATCTGGAAACGCATCGTGTTCACTAAGAGATGTTTCCATTCGTACGTAAAATGTCTAATATTTTTGAAAAAACAACAACAAAAGAGAAATTGGCCGATAATTTTTAATTCATTAAAAATTAGTCTTTTTTGGAAAGCGGCTTAATCTTGGCTGTTTTAAAAATATCTGGGAAAATTCCTGTGCTAAGGACACATTAAATGTAAGTAAACAGGCGAATGATGGCGGGCGTGCAAGTCTAACAAATAATCCAGAATTCATGTAAACCGACCGAATATTTATTTTTTTTAGTTGATTATTTTAAGAATTCGGAATCGGAAGAAATTTCGGAAACGAACATCGTGTCTAAAATTTTTGGGGTGACGGGCGATGCTGAAGTTTGTGGCTGAATACCCTTAGTGAAATCGACAGCAATTCTCTAAAAGTATCGGTTAGACTAGCCACTATTGCCGGATCGTTTACATTTCTATCATTATTTTTTAAAACAGCATTCTCTACAAGGTTTCTAGTTGATTTGGTCGATTTTTTTTACTATATTCCACATTGCTTTTGTTTTATTAGAGTTCACAATACAATGGTTATGTTTCATGATTTCAAAAAGGGCACCAATTTTTTTCTTTAAATTTCTTCTAAGAATAGAGTAAAATACATTTATAAAGGTAGCATTAGTCCGATTTTCAGGTTCAACTCTGAATTTTCGAAAATATCAATATTTCAAAAATTTCGACGTCTTCGTACAATTACAAAATTTGAGATGGAGATTTTTCCTTCATAATATTTGTTCTTCATAGTGTGTTCTTCCATGAAGGTGGTTTTCGCGCAATATTGCAAGCAATATGTGCAATAAAAAAAAAAAAAAA